TATATAGCACCAAGTCACACCAGGTCATCTCAGGGCACTATATAGAAACATTCATGTGCATTCAAGGTTCAAGGTTCTTTATTGTGATTCGCATCACGTCATACAGGACGTGGGACGGAATTGTGTATCCAAGGTCCCAGTACAGTCAAAAATAGCAAAAATGTAGAATATAAAAAGGAACAGCATACAAGGATTTAAGATATATGCTAAACACTAATAATGTAAATTAATACGGTATATTAAACAGCAGCCTGAACATGAGTCTGTAGTGAGCACATGGGTATGAGCAGCTTAAAGGCAAGAAATGAGCAGCATGGATAATCAGCAGCACAGATTAAGTGACATATCACCAACTAAAGTAGCATTACAGCAATTTTTCTTTTTTTTTTGTTCTTACAGTGATTTTTCCTGGATAGGGATTCATGAGTAACAGGTTCAGGGTAGAAGCTGCTCTTAAGCCCCCAGTATACTGCTGCGTATGTCCATACGTGAAGGTACGAGCGTACCCCCCAGGGCATGTCCGTGCAAAGCTCAATTTTTACGACCGCGTACGCGGTGTCACACAATAAACTGCCCAGCGAGGGACTGTTTCGTATGCGACACCAATGTATTAAATTCCTTCTTCATCCCTGATCTGGCCTTTTGTTTTGTGTTGTTGCCAAGAGGCAGTGATCTCTTCCTCCTCCGTTGATGCCATGACTGAAATGGTGAGAAAAAGAGGAATTTGTCATGAGCGAATTAAACTCAGGTCCAGCGTGGCTGTGGGAGTGTCTGGAGAGTTCCTGGTGGTCTGGTCTGATGTGTGGGCTGCAGGGCCAGCGCTCTGTTTTTTTTTTTTTTTTAGATCTTTTTATTAACAACATATAAACACACAACACCGCTGAGGCTGAGAGCGCTCGCTTCCCCCCCCCCCCCCCCCGACCTGTCAATCAATTCAGTAGGCGTGTCAGCAAATGACCAATCGGCGACCTCATTTTGTCCCGAAGGTAAACGCCCCTTGTCTGTGAAGCTGCTCTGCAGCTACTCGGGGTGTACACTGGAGTATCACGTCTGAACCCTCTGCGTACAGTACACGTGTACGTACACGTGTACGTACACGTGAACGGACGTACGCGGCAGTATACTGGGGGCTTTACTCTAGTGGTTGTACTTAATGCAACCTCCTGCCTGAGGGGAGCAGGGCAAAAAGTGAGTGTGCTGGTTGAGTGGAGTCCTTCATGATGCAGGTAGCCCTCTTCCTGCATAAAAAGTACTTTGTAAGTTAATATTATTTATATGAGGCGCAGACTGCTTTGAGTTTAACTTCATCACTGACTCGTATTGAGAAAGCACGGAGACAACAGTGGAGAGAAAAACCCCTCACGAGGAAGAAACTTCCAACAGAACCAGGCGTCACCAGAAGTTACAGTAATGAAACACATTTTTCTTTTTCATCCTCTTCCTTCTGCAGGAGTCACCACAGCGAGCTTGCGTAAAAAAAATGACAATTGTTTTACAACAGAACACCCTTTTTGACATAACCTGGGCTCGAACGTGCAGCCTCGGGTTCAGACTATGACCTCCTAGTGAACTGGTAAATGGACTGTACTTTTATAGCTCCTTTCCATCTAATCAAGATACTCAAAGCTCTTTACAACACAACCTGTGCCTCATTTACCTCCACACACATTCATACAGCCTAACCAGAGCTTTAGATCACGTTCACACTCCGATGGGACACATCAGAGGCGATGAGGCGTTCAGTGTCTTCCCCAGGGACTCAACATGTGACTGCTGGTGGAGTCGAACCCCCGTTGGAGGACGACTGCTCTAACCACTCAGCCACAGCTGCTCAAAAAGCAGAAAAAAAAGGATGTGAATATCTGGATGTGGCATTTTGTTCATCAGTTACCTTTATTTAACCAGTCTAATCTCACTGAGCTCACATCTCTTACTCAAGGAAGGCCTGGAGCCGAACGTGTACATTTTAAACTGTGGGAGCACTCGAAGACAAATCCACAAGCGCAAGGAGAACATGCAAACTACACGCAGGTTCATCAGTGCAGCTACAGCGTGCACTCTCAAGACGTTACCTGCAGCGTGCCCTCAGTGTGGACCGAACTTGGCAAATGGGCCTTCTCCTCCTCCGCTGCTACAACCTGGAACACCTTACAAAAGATCTCACGTTGGCAACTTCGACCACTCTAAGGGATTTTAAACAACTCTTGTGTTCATTGCAAAAACCAACGCAGACATGTTCCTGTTTAGAGTATTTTATTTTGCTTTACAATATAGTTTTTTGTTTGATATCATTTATTTTATGTACTTTTCATTCGATATGTTTTTACATGTTTGTCTATTGTCGTCTGTACCTCATGTGCTCATTCTGGAACAGAACGCTGCGTTTTGCCATTGAAAAGGAGCAGAGACGACTCAGGCGTGGAAGTAAAACAAGACTTTACTGTTTCGTCTTCATTAGTTTTATAAGCCAGAATTTCTTTTTATTGTGAAACTGCAACATGATCACAAAATACAAGGTTTCAGAAAGCATAACCTTGTGTTATAAATTGTACTTTTGCTTAAAGCATAAAGCTACATAATAAAATAAGACCTTTAGCATTAGCTTCATAAAGTTGTAAGATATCACATAAACAATCACAATATTTGCAAACTATAAACTGTAATGTAACTATATTAATGTGATGTGTGAAGCTCAACGACATGAGATGGAAACAGATTGAAAGATTGATGCTCTGAGAACAATTCCCTGTTCTGCATGTAAGCCAACAAGATGTCTGATTTGACCTTTGACCTAACCCATGTGACTCTACTAACCAATGTCAATAAAGGAGATTTCAAACTAAAATGCATTCTGTCGATACAACTACAAGACACTGTTGTGGCAGATCACACTCCCCATCTGGTCCTGAACACAATACCATTATCGATTTGTAGACAAAGCTCAATAGACATAAGAAAGCAGACAATGGTAGAAACTTAGGAAGACAGAAGCACAACTGCTTCAGTCATTGGCCTGACAAGTCTCAACAGTCCCACCTTTGGTGACCTTTGGCTCAAGCTTTCTGACCTTTCCATCACTGCCAGGACGAGTCTTGGTGACAAGAGCCATGGGCCAAAGGTTCCTCTTCACTTCATGTCTTTGAGCAGGACCAAAGCCCCTCTTTAACATTAGGATGGGTGTCCAGACACCTATTTTGGGTGTAAAAGGTCTTGCATTTATTATTGCATAAACCTCACCCATAAAGGCCGATAGCACTTTGTGAGATGTGAAGGTCTGATGTGAGAAAGCATCGAGTCAAGAATCTTTCTTGAAACCCGTCGTTCTTTGCCACACACCTCCCATGTGGGAAGAGTGAGGTGGGTTAACAACCATGTGCATCCTTTCTTACCAAGATATCCTGAAATGTTTCTTTCATCTTGTAGAAAGAATTGCAGTCCTTAAAAATTTGTGCCGCAGTCAGATGGAATCACTTTTGCAGGACCATGGACGGTGAAGAAGCATCGCAGAGCATTGATAAAGCTTGATGCGTCTATTGATTCTACGTTTGACATGTACAGCACATACACTCGACATGTAAAAAGTACTGCCCTCTTTTATTGTTTGCTGCACCTCCTCGAGTGGAGACAGTCCAGGGACCAAACACGTCCAGGCCTACAATTGTAAAAGGGGTTTCCATGCTGAGACGATCTCATGGTAGATCTGTCATCTGCTGTTCTGCCACAAAGCTCATTACATGTGACTCCTTCTGAACATCTTAGTCATGCATTTTCTTACTCCAATAAGCCATAAGCCAGCTGCGTGGATTTCTCCCAGTGAAGACTCTACCTTCATGATGGACTCTCTTATGGTGGTGGTTCACCAACAGAGAAGCAACATGGCTGTGACCAGGAAGTACAAGTGGGCTTTTCTCCTCTACATTAAGATAGAAGGTTTGTGTTTGAGTTCTGGTTGAATTAAATACACAACCCAGTTCTTCGGAAATAGTTTATTTCTCCAAGTTACAGCAGTACACTTTGTAATGGTCTCTCCTCTCACTGAAATCAAAGTCCCATCAGGGTTGTAGATCAAGGGTACATAACTCTTTCCAGATTTTTAACAAGTTGAAAAGAACCAGGTAAAAGTCTCGTCTTTTACGTGTTGCAAACACGCATGAAGCTGCCTGAACTGTGTTTTTAAACCTGGTATGTCTTTAAGCAAGGGACAAAGTGCTTTAATGCAGGTCACGTTGTCCTCAAACGAGTCTGTGATTAAAAGAGAATAAGATTCCTTTGAGAGGAGAAAGTTATGCTGTGTTCAAGATGCACTCTGAGACATTCACACAGGGGACAAAATGTCCACACAGGGGACAAAATGTCCACACAGGGGACAAAATGTCCACACAGGGGACAAAATGTCCACACAGAGGACAAAATGTCCACACAGGGGACAAAATGTCCACACAGGGGACAAAATGTCCACACAGGGGACAAAATGTCCACACAGGAAAGTTCCAGAGGAGCAGTGTTATTTCTGAGCAACATGTTCCCATCAAATCAGACAGAATTCCACTTTTCTGTGATTATAAAAGAATTCTGTTGAGAGCCAAAGTTTTAATTTAGGGTTTTTTCCACATCCAAACAGACTGAAAGCTCGACAGTTACAACTCTGCAATCTGTAGGACCTTCGGGACTCTAATGTACTTCAGAAATGAAAATAATTTTAAAATAAAATTTAATTTCTGTGAATTCTTGTAGTGTGAGAAAGATGCTGAAATCCTCAACGGTTGTCTTCTACACACGTGTAGGCTTTAAAAAGTTTCTTGTCTCATGCTAAGACGTCCATCTAACGGCAGCCTCCAGCCGCACTGACGGACTCTTTGATTAGAAGTGAGAGGAAACTTAGACAATTGAAACATTATATGAATATTTAACTATAGAATATTACATTTAAATTACACTTTTACAGGCTGAATCGATGAAGACGAGATGAAACTGCTTCACTTGTTTACAACTCTGCAATCTGTAGAACTTTCTGGACTCAAACGTATTTCAGAAATAGCTAATATTGATATTTTGTAGAAAAAAGTTATCTGGATGCAATTGCTTACAACAGGGCTAAGAAAATGTAAAGAAAAATCTGGATTTTACCGTTTTAAATTTGTAAAACAACAAAAGTTCTGTCAGCATCCAAACGGACAATTATCTAAAACATTGTTTTATACTAAACAACGTTCTAAGAGGCCGTGACTGTAATTACTGGTTTGGTGCTAACGCTGCTTGATGACCACCAGGTTCTTCAGTATATCGAACGAGTTTCCATCAGGCTCCACTGAGACCAGGCCTTGCTCTTTACTGTACACCTGCAAGAACCCATTGTCGTCTAGACCCACCACCTGAGCTTCTGGTCCTTCCTCGCTCCAGAGACGCACCTGGGTCCCACTGAAATCAGAACATTAACAAAGCTCAACTTTTTAAAATTTTATGCACAAAACTCTGCAATACTGAACAAACAAATTATTCTGAATCAAAATATAGTCAAGAAACCTGGCTGGTTCTGATCACGATGCACATCTGGCCAGACGCAGCAGCTGTACTGAAGCTACAGTCCAACGGGAACATGGCTGAACTGACTCCAGTTCTTTACAAAGAGTTCCCTGAAAGCACTGATGCACCTGAAAGCACTGATGCACCTGAGAGCACTGATGCACCTGAAAGCATCGATGCATCTAACAGACGTTTCAACCATGACCTGCTGTGTTCTCATTAATGTTCTCCTGTTTACTTTCTTATGTACATTCATTTAATAGAACAGCATACATCAAAACATTCAGCTCAGTACAGCATTAAAGCTATGACTTTTGTTATTTGACACTTTTATCATTTTAAAAATGTATATCTTTGCATTTTTTCATTAATATGAATGAAGAACCATTCAACATTTTTAAAACCTTTGCGTTCTGAATTCTACTTTGGCCTATTTGTTTTACTTTTAGCTTTTGGTTAATGATCTGCTCATTTGAACTATTTTTTCAAAGAAAAGTTAAACCTTCAGCACTCAGCATTCACTATGCATTTTCATAGAAAATGACATTTCTATAGCCAAAATTTATATACCATAATTGCTGGGTCTTAGACCCACATTCCTCAGCATATGTGCATTGTAGAAGTCATGTACCGTCTCCATCTGGAAAAAATTAGATGTACCCTGAAGGGTTGTACAGGAAGATTCTGGGCCACCTGGCAGCCTTTTCTGTCACTCTGTCTGACAGATGTACATCTCTCTCAGTAGCTGTGTGCTGCCACTCATGTTACAACGTGAACACCCGCTTATATATGTACAATTTTTTTTTAAGAGTACGCAGCTTATATTCGGGCGCGCTCTGTAGACAGATAATTACGGCAATTACCTGAATCATTAAAAGTACAAAAAGTACATGTATTTACCCTATGTCTGCCTTTGCCTGTCAGTGGTGCACAATCATGAACAAAGGTTTAGTTTATGGTTTGTGTTTTTGTAGGTTTATGTGCATAACTTACGTGTGAAGCCACCTGTTATAGTAGATAGGCAGGACAGCACCTGGGCCTTCGTGTTGAAAGCATCTGATGAGGTCCTCCAGGAAGTTCAGACTCCGAGCGATGAGCTGGGGGCAGCTGAGCGGCTCCAGGCTGCAGTTATTCTGGGTGTTGTACTCTTGGATCAGGTCATTGATGCACAATGTTGGGTTGCTGTTTGTCACATTAACACCACAACCTACAGGACACATCAGATATATAAACATTATACTGAGCAAACAAGACAGACTGTCTTTAGGTGTCAATCAGCGTGCGTAAGGGATTGGCAATGACAGGTAATGAATACCAAACCAATTTATTTCTAAAGCACTTAAAATACAAAAAGCAGTCGTCCGAAGTGCTGTACAAAATTAAACACAAACAAAAAACACCTGTATATATATATATATATATATATGTACATATATATGTATATATATATGT